AATTATTTTTGTATTGTTCGCGGGCCACAATAGTGCCAAGAATAGGTAAACAGATTGTTTAGATCCAAAGTCAAGATTGTAAAATCGTTCTTTTGTCACCGTCACTCCCCCTCCTACATCCAATTAAAAATCAATTTGATTTTGTTAGCTTTCTTTTCAAACTTATGTTTACAAAATGACTGCAGATTGATTGATTACGTGAGGTACAGAAGGGTAATTACTAAATTTTCTGACGTAGTTATGACATTTAGTTATCAGGTAACGGTATAGCCAAACTAGGCTAATACCGGTACAGTACCGGTAATAGAATACGCATTCGATTTTTAGTTTTCTATGATGCCAAAATTGTTGGCATATATTCCCGACCACAACGATATAAAGCCAGATAGCAAGCACATCATTCCACTTCGCTAGTTGTCTCAGCTACCCATAACTTTAGTCAATTAGGTGACATTAGTGATGTGGCAATATGTCAAAAGATTTTTCTGGTTAATTTTATGACGAAATGCGATTTTTTGATTACTCTTTGCGAATGCGACGCGGGCCACAGATAATGAAGCTGCGGGCCAGGGTTTGGGCCACCGTGATCCAAATATCCAAATAGTGATAAATATAAATACAGGTTTAAAGTTTTAGTAAATCAATACCATATCGGACACGGTCCATTAGAAAGTCCCAAGTTTGCTTGCAACTGTACATATTCTCCTCCCTTTTTGCTTCAATCTGATGTGAACCGAAATAATTGTCTTACAGTAAAATCTCCCATCTAGCATTTTTTTTATATACAGAGTGTCTCAAAAGTAAGTATACACTTTGAATTTTGATTTTCATTCCAGGTACTTATCATAGAGCGTTCATGTTTTCAAAAAACATAGTATTGATAAGTAGTAAAATTTAGGTATTGTTTGAATTTTTCATCAACGAACAGAATGACAATGAGATTAACCCAAAAATGAGGTGCAGGATTGCTGTTTGGCAAGAAGCATATAAATCAGTAAGGCAAACTCGGCGCTACTTTCGGCGAAATTGCAGTGATAACGAATTTGCAAGATCGCAAAAGACGTATTATATCAAAACTATATAACCGGGCAATTTATATCACATTATTATGTCTCCATGCCACCCCCAGTTACGTTGCACACAATTAAATTCTTAATTATTATAGAACGACATTTTAAATTATTGTAGTTGTCATGGATTGAATATTACACGATAGAATAGGGCTGAAAAGGTCGATTCTTTCATCGAACGCCTAATCGCGGCCCTGTTTCAGAATTCGTTGCATGGGAAATTCCGATTTTGACCCCCCCCCCCAAATTGTAAACTTATTGTGGTAATTTAAATATGTAACGTTGAATCCTACATTGCCTTGTTGGACACGTTAGTAAACCTATGGATCGTTTTGGTAATTTTGTTGTTGTTCTTGTTGTTATTCTTCGTCATCATTACAAAGTCGCTTTTCTCTTGGACCAATTGCTTTGAAATTTTCAGTGGTTAAAACCCAACACAGCCGGATGGCATATACTCAGTATTATTATGCCTAGTCCAACTCTAAATAGTATTAATGGTGTTTTACAGTCAATGTTCTATAGTGGAGTCGTATATTTCACGAAAAAGAGACTCCAGCCTGACACAAAGTGCGAATCGTATAAATAGCGTTGATTTCAAAATCGCCATTCAGATGTGTGAAATTGTTGACGCGACTCAGACAGAATCCGTAATTCCTGATCCGTAATTATAAAAAAAATAAAATAAAAAATAAAAAAATTCAGACAGGAAATCAATAACATTAATTCCTTTATAATGACTTATTATTGGTTTAGCATGTATTTTCAGTCATACATGTCATCCCTGGCGCTGTGATGTTTTGATAAATATGATTTCGACTGCACCATACTTGGCAGAGGTATCGAGATTTTTTAAACGTGAAAAAAACGTAAAATTAATGGTAATTTTCACGCGTAACGGCGCGTATCAGAATGTTTACGGCTTTCTATGCGCATTTTCGTCGGAAAAAGTAACATTTTTTGCATTGAGGGGGGCGTGTGCTCTAATAATTAGAGGTGTGACGTCATTAAAATTGTCAATTGAAGCCTTGAACTTAAAAATTCTGTAAATACAATCGTGAATTTTAGAGTAACCATTCTTGCTATATAATAGTGGTTTTGGTGTTGTTCTGTTGGAAAATAACACAAGAAAACGTTGAAATAAAAATTAATTAATTAGGAATAATTATTAACCCTCTACTAGACACAAAATCTCGCAAGTTCAATAGAAATTTTGGAATTTTGGCGTAAAAATATTTTTTTTTAGATGAGTGCGTTTTACATATATTGCTGAATAAAGCTCTATCACACGCTAATAAAAAGCCATGAGTGAAGCTTTAGACCCTAATGGTTGACAAAAAAAAAATAACCCATGTAAAATGGCACCAGACCGACCGGTTGGCGAGGGTAGATTGATTTTGTTTGCCTGAAGGCTTTCATTTTTTATTATTGAACACGGAGTGGACCTATGGATCGTTTTACTTTTTTTTTGACATCTTCTGGAAAATTTAAAAAGTCTCTTTTATGCTGGCACCATAGATTATATGTTATGCATTATCTCTGCTGGCACTCTTCTTCTTGTTTTTTTGATCACGTGGTCATCGAACGTCGGTGGTGTGTAACGAAATTTTTGCTTTGTTGGGAAAACGGGGAATGGCGAACAGCGCCGCGTAGAGTCAAAGGTAAACTTCTCTAACAGGTACCTACCGTAACTGGGCCTAAAGAACTAGATCTAGCCACCAAAGTTACCCTAGCAGACATCTCTCTCGTTTTTGAACGCGCCGATCACCGTTGCCATAACTCAGATTTCAATTGAGCGATGCGAGAGTTTACGAAAAAAGCATCGATGCAAAATCAGCTGATGCTTTATGCGTTGCCAGATTGATCATAAAAACTGTGAATAATTGCCAAAAAATCACAGTTCTCCCCCAAATATAAGTGACTCACAAATATATCCGCTTAGTATAAGAAAGATAAGTAGAAGTGCTTATAATAGGAAGTAAACACAACGAGTTTGACAAAGATTGAATAGGTGGAAAGATACTTATTGTCGTTTAAATCTGTCCCAGTCGTCAATTTTTAATAACATTGGTTAAAAGACCTATTATGCCCCCAAAAAGATGTGTCTCACAATCATGGCCTCTCCATTTATACATAAACAGCAGTAGTACATATAATAAAGTGTTTATACAACGAGTTTCAAAAAGTTTGTATGGGTGGAAGATATTTTTATTCTCGCTTAAACATGGCCCGATAGTCAATTTTTGATAGAAATGGCAAAAAGACCTCTTTTGCTCCAAAAAATGAGTGTCTTGCAATTACGGGCCCCACATTTACACAAGACCAGCAGTAGTACATATAATAAAGTGTTTATACAGCGAGTTTGAGAATGTTTGTATGGGGGGAAGATACTTTGCGACAAAATTGTCGCAATGTCGATAATTCCGAAGTCGCAATGTCGAAATTTCCGACAAATTCGGGTTATCGTTTAAACATGGCATTTAAATTGTTGTTGTTTTTTCTTCCTAGTATTCTCTTTGTTGCTGCATTTTTGTTTTAAATTTTTATTTTCTTTTTTCAACTATTGGACCAATGAACAATTCCGCGATTGCATTTCAACGATCCAGTGGTCAGCGAAGTCGGGAGTTTTTCAATGAGGTAGACCAGGGGGGTCCAAAGTCGTAATGCTGATACATTCCGTGCGGCCCACAGAACAATTTTAGCGTATATTTGTATCTGATAGCAGTATATTTCTATCATTAATTGACTAGCGGGCCATGTTTAGGCGATAATTAAAGTATCTTCCCCCCATACAAACTTTTTCAAACTCGCTGTATTAACACTTTATAATATGTACTACTACTGGTCTTTTGTAAACGTGGGGAACGTAATTGCAAGACACTCATTTTTTGGAGCAAAAGAGGTCTTTTTGCCATTTCTATTCAAAAATTAACTATCGGGCCATGTTTAAGAGATTATAAAAAATCTTCCTCCCATACAAACTTTTTCAAACTCGCTGTATTAACACTTTAATATATGTACTACTACTGGTCTTTTGTAAATGTGGGGCCCGTAATTGCAAGACACTCATTTTTTGGGGCAAATTAGGTCTTTTTGCCATTTCTATCATTAATTGACCAGCGAGCCATGTTTAAGCAATTATAAAAATATCTTCCCCCCATACAAACTTTTTCAAACTCGCTGTATAAACACTTTATTATATGTACTACTGCTGGTCTTGTGTAAATGAGGGGCCCGTAATTGTAAGATACTCATTTTTTGGGGCAAATTAGGTCTTTTTGCCATTTCTATCATTAATTGACTAGCGGGCCATGTTTTAACGATAATTAAAGTATCTTCCCCCCATACAAACTTTTTCAAACTCGCTGTATTAACACCTTATTATATGTGCTACTACTGGTCTTGTGTAAATGAGGGGCCCGTAATTGCAAGACACTCATTTTTTGGGGCAAACTAGGTCTTTTTGCCATTTCTATCATAAATTGACAAGCGGGTCATGTTTAAACGAGAATAAAAATATCTTCCCCCCATACAAACTTTTTGAAACTCGTTGTATAAACACTTTATTATATGTACTACTGCTGTTTATGTATAAATGGAGAGGCCATGATTGTAAGACACATCTTTTTGGGGGCAAAATAGGTCTTTTTACCAATTTTATTAAAAATTGACGACTGGGACAGGTTTAAACGATAATAAGTATCTTCCCACCTATTCAATCTTTGTCAAACTCGTTTTGTTTACTTCCGATTATAAGCCCTTATACTTATCTTTCTTATACTAAGCGGATATATTTGTGAGACACTTATATTTGGGGGGGGGGGACTGTGAATTTTTGGCAATTATTCACAGTTTTTATGATTAATCTAGCAACGCATAAAGCATCAGCTGATTTTGCATCGATGCTTTTTTCGTAAACTCTCGCATCGCTCAATTGAAATCTGAGTTCTGGCAACGGTGATCGGCGCGTTCAAAGTCGAGAGAGATGTCTGCTAGGGTAACTTTGGTGATCTAGCCTAGGTACATGCTCTGATCACTCTACACTGGTTCGGTACTTTCGCGGTGAAGATCATTTTGCATGGTTCTGATGGAAATAAGAAATTCTCACGAAGCATATGTTAAAGTAAGTTGAAATTGCAGAATTGGTTTATTAACATGAAAACAGTAGGATGAAAGCTTCGTTGACAAACTGAAAATGAAAACTTGCAAAGGCTGAGTTTCATCACTGTCTGACTGTGTTTCAGTGTGTAGTACGCTATATTCAGAGGGTCTAGTATAGTTTAGTACCACAAGTACTTCCAATTGGCATATCAAAACGAAATTTGCATATGTTATTCCTAACCCCCACCTGACTATGCCATCCAAAAATTTCGTCAATACGACGTCACAAACACGTCCTAGGGCTTGCCAAAGTATAATTACGATCGCCCGAAAATGGCATCTGCGCCGCCGATAACGAACTCGCCGACGCCAGCGACCTCTCTCCTATCGTGATCGTTATGACGGGAAAACGAGGGAAATAGCTTGCTCGATTTCGGGTGATCATCTGCGCGTTTTGGACGACCATCCGCATACTTTTGTGGGCCTTATTACGCCAATGTGACGTCGAAATGAAGTAATTTTTCGGTGACGTAGTCAGGTGGGGGTTAGGATTGGCATATGCAAAAATTGTTGAGCCAGGCCAACTAGAAGTGCATGTCGTACTAAACTATGCCAGACCCCATTCAGACATTATAGATTCGATTTGGGCCCTGTACTATCTAGTCTACCAGTTTTTCGAGAATACAGGAATATGCATTTATTTACGCCATTTTAATATATTTTAAGGTGAAAGTACTATTTTTTGCCAAGAGTAAAGATCTTTCTGGAAAGAGTGAAGATATATTAGAATTACCCTCAAAAACGACAACGGAAGAAATTCTTGCTATTTTACAAGAAACTTACCCCAGGTAGCTTTATTTCTAATTTTTCAGAATTACTCTGCAGAACGTGGTCACTGATTTATAGAGTGAGCAATCGTAACATTCAGACATTTCTTTTAGAAAATAATCGAATAAAATTGTAATGTTAAATGTGGTATTTTAGGAATATTTAGGGAGAACATTGTTTCCAACATAGCACAGGTTTATATAGCGATGCTACTATAACTAAAAATAATTAAAGCAGTAAATGGAAAGTATATCAAGATAATTTCTTAACTTGGTAAAATCAATTTCAATATGTGTTACAGGTTTCAGGAACTGGGAACCTGTTTTACTCTGGCGCTAAATGAGGAATATTGTTCGGAAACATTAACAGAACCTGTATTTCTATCGTCTGGAGACGAATTGGCCATTATTCCGCCACTTGGTGGAGGCTAGATCGTGATGTCCAAAATTGTCACTGATATTTTGTTGACAAAGGACCCTTTATCAATGAACAATGTCATTAGTAAGATAAGTCATCCAGCATGTGGAGGGTTGTCAATATTTGTAGGTAAATGATATCAGAATTAGTTATACTTATCATCGAAATGTGTTAATTATTGAGAATATATTTGAGATTTGTTTACAATAAACTAAAATGACTGCGCTTTTATTGCATTTTTGGCCATCTGTTTTAAAATTTTTTTGGCTCTAGTGAAATAAATGCTGAAACTGCTTAGGTAGCGCCAAACAAAAAGGCAGCCGCGTTTAGTTAAATTCGAACCTACTCAGTTTTGGACTAAGCCGATAGGCCTATATCTTATGCCAAATGTGGAATATAGTTCTGTTCCGAGACCGACTTGAATTGGAAATGAATAAATAAAAAAATTTGGGCTGTTTTTTTAAATCACATTGACATTATTCAAACGGTCTAATGCTTTAACCGCTAGGCCATTGCTTTGCCCTTGTTTGAAATATAGTATGCATTTTATACTGTACGTTTGTATGCAAAAGCATCCATCATGTTCAATTTAAATATGTCACCCTCATGATGATCATTCATATGAATATGCACTTTTCACAGGCACAACTCGCAATCACCATGATGGTAAAAAAGTAGTAAAATTAGAGTATGAATGTTATTCAAAAATGGCGAAAAAACAAATACAGTTAATCTGCGATGATACTCGAAGCAAGTGGCCTGATATACAAAATATTGCAGTACATCATAGGCTGGGGTATGTAATATTGACTAGTTTTATTCATATGATAATTTAAGATGAATCAAAGAGATATGACAACCTTTTTGTATGTGTGTGTATCGTGATAGGTCGCTTACTTGAAGTACATACCTCATTTAACAATAGCCGTCAATTCAAATCAAGGTTCCAGTTTGGAAGTAGATTCTTGCATTGTGCAATGCATTCCAAACATTTAGGTCTATTAGTAAGTATATTATGTAATAATGCCTTATTACAGAGATTCCCAAACTTTTTATTTGTGCGGCGCCTAATTATCAGGGAAAAGACTCACCGCACACTTACACTAAAAAAATGCTGCCTTCAAATAAAACTCAATTTTGTGATTGGTAATGTGTACTTTATGCCTTTTAAGTTTGTAAACATGTAGGCCTAAGGAACAAAGGCCAATGATGCACCCTTTGGGAACCACTGTCTTATTATATAACTTTGTTTATAGACATGTGCCTGTGATGGATATGAGTGTTATTATTGGAATATCTTCTCCGCATCGTGAGGATGCGATATCAGCATCAAAACATTGCATAGAGAAACTCAAAGCTAACGTCCCTATATGGAAAAGGGAAATCTATGAAGATGGATCGGAAGAATGGCAAGAAAATAAAGAATGTGATTTTGGGAAAACATAAATCGATATATTTTCCTAGTTTTCGATTTGTACATCATTACTGTGTGTTAATAATAAGTCATGCTGCTACGAATATTGATGACATCCAAAGTTGAAAGCAAAGGAATAAATGATTGTTTTGTTTTCCACCTGGAGTATATCTAAAAAAGATTCCTAATCTTCGACTCAAGTGATATACAGTCACAGTCAAGCTTATTAACTGTGATTTATTGACATCATAATCATTTTTATGTTGTCATTTTTCTTAAAGATGATGTTATTCACTCAAAAGCCAATACAAACCTCAATCTCTAATATTTCATAATAAATACTGGATTTATTTTCATAACGTTCTTCACATTTACATTTGTGAGAATTTTATCCATTTTGTAATGCCTTGCTATAGGTTGTTTTTGGCCATTTTATTTCACGCATGGAATATTTCATTGCAGAATAACTCAGTTTTCTGAAAATTTATTGCATTTCTAACATTAGATATTGTGAACTAAATATTTTGATTTGTTTTAAAATAGCTAAATTACAATAAAAAAAACGAGTTAAATTTTATGATTTTTATCTTATGTTTAATAATACAAAATCGTTTCGTTGTTCCATACACTTGGTTTATAGGCAAGACATGAATTTCCTTTCTAATTTTATTTTTATTGTACTTGTAGGTAATCATAGTTCTATTTCAGTTTATCGCAATATCATGACAAAATTTCTCATTTTTCCTCCTAACAATATCATTGGTTCTGTTTAGTTTATAATATTGGTTTTTGTTTCTGAATTGAACAATTAGAGGGATATACTTCCTAGAAATTTTGAAATAAATGATCTTTGAAAACTACATACATTACAATTTTAATGGTGCATTTTATTGGTACTACATGTTTTGGAAATTCGTTTTAATCCTGAATCCAATGAAATTCAGTATTGAATTATTGAATATTTGCAGATGTTTGATGACAATCGTTTCCTGAGAATTCTGAGAACTTTTCTAAATCTGATACCTAAATTTTTATCACTACCTTGTGTATCGATTATTATGCCTGGGGCAAGGTTTATTAAAAAGGTTAAAACAGTTCATTTCTACCAACAGTGTGTTTATTCAGTCAAAATCTTTGCATAATTTCTTTTTTTTAAATTCTGTCAACCTGATCATGTTTGATGCATTATGTTTTTAGATGAATCATAAGAAAGTTGGCGCAATTCCTTGTCGTAATCCTATATATCTTAATCACCCACAAGCCACATTTAGAGCAGTCTGTCACACAAATTTGGTGTATTTTACACCATTTAATCTAATCTTAATTCAATCTAATGAAAAAAATCAGAACAGGGCCAGGAATGGCAAAGGATATATGTGCAGACTTATGTTTAATTTGAAAAAAATTAATTTGTGTCAAATATTCTTTATTTAAAACTGTTGTAAATTATTTTGTTCGAGATTTGTTAATCATTTTTTTTCTTTCATTTGATAGACAGCAGGAAATTGATTTCTGAATGTCAAATACTATTTGTAATGATTTAGAATATTCAAATTTGCTTATTTCTGTGGTTTTATGAATTTATAATAGAGTGACATATGTCATAAATTATCATACCATATTGAATGCTTTATAATTAGTATAATTAGAAATCCTTTACAATACAATGATGTATTTTACATTGCTCTTCCATGAATAATTTTTTAATTTATGCATTCATTACTTTTGATTGTTCTTATGATGATTATGTGAATAACTTAGTCTATGATTTAATTTTAAAAAATGTCGTCTTCAAGTTCCGAAGAAGAAAAACCATGTCTGATTTCATTTGCAACCGGAAAAAATTTTGAGATTCAACATCAAGATAGGGTGGGTAATTCGGATTATATCTTTACCTCTAAGAACTGAAAGTGATGTTTGATGTGTATAATTTAACAGGGCAGATATTAATCTCTGCAGTATGATCAATGGAATCAGGTGTATCTTAAATAATCAGAAGTATTCGGTGTATATTTTGTGGTGTGGTGAGCTTGTGGTTAAAGCAAACTACTGATGACATTACAGGCTACAATCTCGAAGTCATATCCCATGCCCGTTACTCCCGAAGTATGTGAATCAAGATGGTGGACACCAGAACGTAGTATGTGTACCAAATTAAGGTTAGGCCATAATTTCAGGTACAAATACTACGGGTGTCACTTGGCTAGTCCCCGAACTCATAATAGAACTGAAATGAGGAAAATTGGATTAAAATTATTGCCTAACCTGGTACACATACTACGTTCCGGTGTCCGCCATCTCGTTTCACATACTTCGGGAGTACCCCATGCCCACCACCGAACCCAGGGTATAAAAAATTGGACAGGCAATGCAGAACTGGAAAGTTTGCATTCCCAAATCATGGTAGCTCTTTATCTAGCATCTGTGCAGAGCCTTGTTCAGGCCATGCCTTATAATAAAAAATATATTCCATGTAAAGAAAAGGATGATTTGAGTAAAATTTGTTGAATTTTGAATTTGTACATATTAGCGGTGTAAAAGCTGTATTCGCTGTATATTATATGAATTTATAAATTGTAAATTCTCTCAAACATTTGAAAACTACTAATTGATGTATCTGTTAAAGTTTACTTCATTTTTCAGTATGGCAGATGTAGAAATGTATCCACCTTTGAAAGATACAATAAGATTGGAGAAGGAACATTTGGAGTTGTATGTGAGTGGAAATAAGATTTTTAGTATTTAAATATAATGAAATAAAATTGGTATTATTGAATTATAATAATATGCGAATAGGGATAGTGAATTTGGAAAGAAGGCAATTTATCAGTCTGTTGCAAACAGCTTTTTATTATTGAACGCCCTGTGATAATTGACAATTGTCTTCAAGTTAAAATCTAAGTAAAGGTGAAGGCTAATTATTACTAATATAGTGTTCCTAACTAGCTACTAACTTTTGACATATGTTTGCTCAAAGTGGCCTGTAATATATCTCGAGCAATAGATTTCTGAATGGGAGTCCTCAAATTCAACAAAAAAATCATGTTCTGCATAACAATTTTGCAACATCATTGTCTAGTAATCCTTTTACACCATCTATTTAGATCGTGCCAGAGACACACAAAATGATGAAATTGTTGCTTTAAAAAGAGTTCGAACTGAGCATGACATGGACGGTATTTCGATTAGCAGTTTAAGGGAGATTAATTTGCTGTTGTGTCTGCGTCATCCTAATATTGTGGAGTTGAAAGAAGTTGCAGTTGGTCAACAGTTGGACAGGTGAAGTGAGGTTTGTCCAGTGTCCAGTGCATTATTTTAATCAAGCAATATGTGAACTACTCCAGTGGTAGTTCTGATTGGTGCAGACATATATACTGATTCTATGATCCACATTCTTCATTTTCATGATGAAAATGTAATGCGTGACCCGTTCATACCCAAAATAGGTACCGGTAATACTTGTTTGTTGTTGAATATTCTAAAATGATTAAAAGAAAATTTGATATCAATGATAATTTTGATGTGATTAAGTTCTCAATTAACAGCACTTATATTTTCATATGGCACAATTTTGTCTTTTTCATTCAAGGCAATTTTTGGTTGGTAATTCTGATACAAGTTTACTGTATGATAGTAACGCAGGGCAAAAGCATTCGTTGCATTTTTGACAAATTCATTTAATATTTTCTGCTACATAATACATACTTTTTTCGCAGCATATTTCTTGTCATGGGTTACTGCGAACAAGACTTGGCAAGTTTACTTGATAACATGTCAAAACCATTCACTGAAGCTCAAGTTAAATGTATAACCATACAAGTTCTCAAAGGATTGCAATATCTCCATGATCACTTTATTGTACACAGGTATGAGCTTGATGTTTTGTTAGTGAGACTTAATTGGAAAAAAATATTGAATTCAATTCCGAAATTGTCAGATATAAGCCTAAACCTATTCTTGTAAAGGAATACAGTATGTTGTTCTCAATGAAAAGAAATTTACCATGGTGCTAGTTTAATGTTGAGTATTCAAAATATTTCAGGGATTTGAAAGTTTCAAACTTGCTTATGACAGATTCTGGAATAGTTAAAATTGCAGATTTTGGATTAGCAAGAACATATGGAATTCCTGCAATCAATATGACACCACGAGTTGTAACATTATGGTATAGAGCACCTGAATTGTTGTTTGGATCAAAAACACATGGCACTGGTGTAGGTCTGTATAGCAGAAAGTTAAAAATAAATACTGGTTGTATAAGTTAAAAAAGTTGTTCAATACAGTTAAAGCTTTAGTGTTATTATTTACAGTGAATTTTCCATTCATCTAAAAGAGAGCTTCTCCAACTCTCATAATATGCGGCTCTTTGCTCTTCTATGAAAATACATAGATTTTTAATGTGTTGTATCAGTTCCAACAAATGAAAGCATGAGAGTAAATGCATGACAGTCAAAGAATTTAACAAATCACATGTACCTTGAATTAATTTAGTTATCGCAAATAGTAACTGAGAAAATAAAACGTCTTGTATGCCTTAATTATTGATAGTTTATATGAAGTTTTTCTTTCAAAAAAGAAACCTAAAATAGGAACCATTCCAAATTATTTTTCGGAATCCATTCAAGATAGTGAATATGCTGAACATTGTCACTATTTATCAAAGTGGTATGTAAATGGAAGGACTGCACTAAACTAGCTGGCAGTGGTACTTTGGACTCGACACTTGGGGTTCAGGGGCTTCTACACAACACGGGCTATATCCCATTGAATATTTAATCTGAATAGTTTGGCCTTCTCTAAAATTGGTCTACTAAGCAGTGTTCAAGTTAAATATGACACAGCATCAGCAAGCAGAAGCATAACTATCACTTCTAAAAATTTTCCCAAATTGTTTTTACAGACATGTGGGCAATGGGTTGTATATTGGCAGAACTTCTTGCTCACAAACCACTCTTCCCTGGGAAGTCTGAGCTTCAAATGATCGATATTATTATAGAATTATTGGGATCTCCAAATGAGAGTATATGGCCTGTAAGTCTTTCATTATCATCAGCAGAAGAGAGAGACTTTTGTATCTTTCGGTAGACAGATAAAACAAAAGTGTTACAACTCGATACTGGAACTGCCTAATTCACATCAGTGCCAGGCAATATGTCGTTGTCATTAAAGTCTGTTTTCTATTTCTTTTTGTCAGTCGTATAATATTAAGAATATCTGATAATGATATTTATTGTTTGGAAAATATGTTGTTGTTGCTGGGAGATTTTCCAAACTTTGCCGTGAATTAGTTTTAGCTATGGTGGTACTAATTATGAAGCCGCTATTTCTAAGCACCACCTGTCTATTTATTGGTGTTCATCATTCACATTATATTTTCTCTCAACAGGGTTACGAAAGCCTTCCTGCTGTGAAGACAATTTATCTTCGTAACCAGCCGTATAATAACCTGAAGCATAGATTTCCATGGTTATCTGATGCTGGTCTAAGATTACTCAATCTTTTGCTCATGTTTGATCCAGAAAAACGAGCAACTGCGCTTGATTGTCTTCAAATTTCCTATTTTAAAGAGAAACCATTGCGTGAGTCTTTTCTTTCTATAGTATACTAAGCAAGCCTTTTATAGCAAGCTGTTGCTGAATGCGTAAAACATACACAGTTCATGCCTGTTCATGCCTTTTTTTTTAAAGATATAATCATATAGCGGGCCTTAGATTTAATTCTGCATTCCATTTACTTCTAGCATGTGATGCAAATATGATGCCAACTTTTCCACACCACAGAAACAAACAGTCAACGTAAGTATACAATGTATTAAATTTAATAACAAAACAACATTTGCTCCATGTGAATAGCATTGAAGTTGTAACAGAAAACGCAACAATAAATGAAAAGAAAATGCAAAATGCCTTTTCAAGAAGAAATTTGTTGACTGAATTATACAATATTTCATTAAATCCAAATATAATAAATAGCACGCAGTGAGTGGAAGTATTTCAATTTTGCACATAAAAAATATATTGAACTAACTGCACAAAACCGTATGAGAGGCAGCAGTACGCCATATGATTAAATCAACTTTCCTCTCGGGATAAATATGAAAAGCATTACAATACAAGATCTTAATTGAATGTTTTATGATTACAGAGCACAGCACAAACGTAAATCAATAAGCGGACATTCGGATGACGATGAAAAGGTGACACAGTATACATTTTTGTAGCCTACGCATAGTAGATCCTTTCGTAATTTGAATACCGGTAATCTCAATTAATTGCTAGTTGGAGAAATAAATAAAGAATTAAATTAAGCAAAAATTTTATTTAGGAAAAGTGAAAACAACAAGTACCTTTGTATTTTCCAGAAACGTTACTCACATAAAAAAATCTCAAAACACAAGAAATAAGCATTTCTCTTTGTCAACTAAATCAGGTACGGTATAAATATTTTACGATCCTTTGGATAGTCCTCAAACTTCTTTATATACCATTGATGATTTGTATAACTTCTTGCAGACAGATATAACAGAGCGAAGACTGCAAATGCAGCAGCCTGCAGTGACCAACTTGCAATAGCAAAGCCCAGCCATTCCACTGTTTCACCAAAAAGATTGCCACAAGAGACATACTCGAACATGTCACCCTTGGGGATTTTATACCCGGTCTCCCCAGGTTTTCTCAAGTTCCGCAAAATACTGTCGCATATCATATTGGTCTTCATACCCCATGCAAACAAGCATATTCCAATTATGAAGTTTGGTTGGTATATCCAATCCATTGAATAGTTAGAATGATGAAGCAGAAACATGCTCTGTGTGAAAAAAAGAGAAATGTTGTGAATTAAACAAGAGAATAATAAATAAATATTTGAGGTGCGAGCCTGACGTTACGTTTGTGGTTTCTTCTATACATGGTAGTGGAGTAAAGCAGGGGCCCGCAACCTTTAATACAAGAGGGCTAGATACAAATAACTAAGTGAGACATTGGCTTATTAGCACCGCGTTTCCCCCAGACTGGGACTTATTTCAGATTTCTTTCAAAAAATATCACCAGGACTTGTTTTCAGGGGATGTTTTATATTTTCATTTATCAAAAACAAAATTACGAAGTGGAGAACTGCGAGATTTTCAAATATATATAATATGAAAAGCGATATCCATTTACTTATAAATATCACGTTTTTATCAAACATAAACGCAAAACATAAATTATCAATAATTTAAAACGAGTAGGAGAGTTTTTTTGGGGAAACACGGTAGTTGCAAGCACAAATAATTTGGTTATTGATCTCTTGACATGTGTTGTTCGCTTCGGTATAAAATTGGAATTGTTTGCACATACCAGATTAAACTAAAAACTCGTTTCGCATATTGCAGTGTAAGTATAAGAATTTCAATTCTAACATTAAATAAAATATGTGCTGTCAGTCGCTTGTAAATACTCTAGCTCTTTTCAATAAAGAATTGATTTACTCTTCGCTTTCAACAACATCGAGCCACCCTTGAGATAAATGGTAGTATAAATAATGTTTACCTGCATATATCCATTGTAAGTGCAGAAAATACAGGCTAATACGGCTATGGAAATTGGTGTTGGTTTTCCACCTCTAATCTTGAATGGATATATAAGCGTTCGATGTGCATAGTGGAATATGAAAAGCCCGATTAAAATTAAACTTGCTGGTGTGATATCCGTTGGTGATGTAAATAGGGTATAGAGTGGAATTGTCAATGCTGGGATTTCCTGAAAAAGGTCGTTGAAGCAAGAATTATCTTCTGTGCCACCCTAAAATACGATTTTTGCTTATTCACATTCTTTATGGTGGAAAAACGTAGGGATAACCAAGGTAATTACATGAAACAAAATTTGAATTGCCAAGTAGGCATTCGGGTTTTACGGAGTTTAATCTCTAGGCAGGGTTTTTAAAAGAAGAAGAAAGCTGAAAAGGTTTGTGTGGTGCATCGATAAGAGAATAGGTTGAAGAAGTTAAACATGACCGGGAAACAGCTATTTTGGTTGCTAATAAACCAATACAAGATTTAAAAGTTTGCTCTAAATCAGTGGTTCTATTTGTCAAGTCTCAAAAATTACTAGCTGACAATAAGCTTCAAATAATGTCGTTGAATATACATGGATGGAATAGAAAAGTTTTAAAATGTGAATAACCAAAATAAGGCAGGCAAGATAAAATACAATAAATATTTTTGATTAGCTCAAAAAATTGCCTAGAATCACTGCTTTAAATGTTATTTCAGTATTTCTGCAACATTGTGCAGGACTCTATTCTTGTGATTCACATATTCTTTTGAAGATGGCAATACTCTTCAGCTTATTAATGGTATTAGTTAAATTTTACGATAAAAGATCAAGTTACCTGCAAAAACCAGGCTACTCGAACATTTATTAGAAATCCCCAACTCGAAGATGAAAATCTACCATACGGAACGTTAACTTTTTTCACAATGATTAAATGTATAATTGGAGATACTCCAATTAAGATGCCCGCCATCAGATCCAAGAGTCTGAGCTCATTTTTTCCTCTCATCAAATTGTTTAGCTTGTCTGATAAACCAATCAATATTTCCATATTAAGTGTTAAACACCAGCACACTCAGACGCTGTAACAAAATAAACATTTCAGTTAGTGTTAGCATTTACAGATTTAGAACCTATGTCAATCTATTCCATCACGAATTCCTACGTTATACTCCAACCAGGGCGGCGTTGGGTACTGAGATAGGGAGGCGGACAACTCGACTACACGGACAACTCACCAGAGACAACTCGACTACCGTACCTGGAGACCTGGTGGGTTGTCCGTCTTTTCGCATTTTCTACGGTGGTGTTTTAGGTCTATAGAAAAGCGTTTTTGATATTTTTAGTGCTCAAATGTCGAGAAAAATACATAAATATTCTCTAGAAAGTATTTTTATTTGTATAAGTGGCTTATTTTAATCATGTTGTATGAATACAAATACAGTCTACAGACGAAATTGAAGTAACGTTAGCGAAGTTAGACTGTTGACTTATAGGACTGTGTTCGTTTAATTTTATGAACTTTATTGGTATAATGTTTTGAATGAGCACATTTAAATATATTAAAACCTTTATACTTCACAGTAACACTTAAATATTTATGAATGTGAGCTTAGTAGTCTGTGGTTGCAGTAGTCTAAACTCGCCTACGGCAGTCGCCCGTCAACTCACCTGTCGAGCAAACGCTCTGCGACGTGACGTCATCGATGCTCGAGGTAAAGACAACTCGACTACCGAGCAACCTCACTAGTCGAGCAATCGCTCTGCGATATCGATGCTCGAGGAGAAGACATTGCTTTGCAAAACGCAGACTCAATAGTTGCATAGCATTTACTTAGTGCCGACTAATATTAGTTGTAAGCCAACTTACCACGGCAAGGTTTCAGTCATAGAGTTGGAAATTCTTTTTGCAGCAGAAAACCAGGAACAGATAGGCACTGTCGCTGCGCCTGGCAAAGAAACTGGGCCGTAGAATGGATAAAAGATGTTTACTTTTTGTTACGATTAATGAATTTATTATGATATTTAAATACTAAACGTTATGGGGAAATTTAATGGATGGAAGGTTTTGTTTTCTTTTTCGTTACGAATATTGAATTTTATTTGAATACTGAACGTTATGGGAAATTTGCTGCGTTACATACTTACTCTTTGCAATACTGCGGCCCGTAGATCCTTGAACACCTCCGTCCACAGATAACTCTCCTTCCTTAAACTGTTCCCAAACATGTTGCACCCTCTCGTTGGCTTCCGCATGCAGCTTATTAATGGTATCAGTTAAATTTTACGATAAAAGATCATGTTACCTGCAAAAAAACAGGCTAATCGAACATTTATTAGAAATCCCCAACTCGAAGATGAAAATCTACCATACGGAACGTTAACTTTTTTCACAATGATTAAATGTATAATTGGAGATATTCCAATTAAGATGTTCGCCATCAGATCCAAGAGTCTGAGCTCATTTTTTCCTCTCATCAAATTGTTTAGCTTGTCTGATAAACCAATCAATATTTCCATATTAAGTGTTAAACACCAGCACACTCAGACGCTGTAACAAAATAAACATTTCAGTTAGTGTTAGCATTAACAGATTTAGGTTAAAGCTAACCTATGGCAATCTATTCCATTACGAAGTTAGGATTCGAAAAGTACAGAAGTAGCCTATTGTCAGACTATTCTCATGTGTCTGAAGTGTTATACTCCAACCAGGGCGGCGTTGGGTACTGAGATATGGGAGTTAGATCAGGGATAGCCTAGGTACCGGTACCGGCCGGTTTGGATTTCGGTGACCGTACATTTGAACCCATGTGTATATCCGCGGGTTTAATCTATATGCGGGTGCCAAAACCCATGGGTTGGGGTTAGTATGGGTTCAAATATCCGCAAAACAAAAAATTCCATAGGTGCAATAGAATAGGATTTACATATTTATCCCGGGGAGGGGAAAGCCGATAATGCAGCTTTATAGCATAAATGATTGGTAAATGAATGTGATGTTACCGTATATTGCTATTTCGTAGATTGTCTCTGACTTGCAAGTCACCCGTTCACCCTTCAGCTTCAACGCCCACGTGAATGAAGATGCGTTAAAAATCTCTATATTTTTTTTATTTGTAAATTTCCACAACACACAGAATATAAATCTTATAACATTTATCCAGACTAGCTTAGAATGGTTTACATCGTCTTCTACTCCCTATCGAAAGATATCGGAGTCGTATTTTTACGTTGATCATAAATCCAATTAAACGCTGTAAACGCGAGCTCGTGATACACGTTATAAACAGAAATTCCTATTATCTCAACAAGGGTAATTATGTACATCGTACGGATGGGAACTTAGATATAATTATTTCAATCAGTGCCAAAGGTCTTAGGAATATCAATTTTAATTTGATAATGACTGGGTGGAACATGTAATGTTCCTAAAACTGGTGTAATTTGATTCCTACGAAAGTCTTTGTTCGAATTTTGGGAAAAATTAACTTTGTCATGATGATTTCAACATGAAATGGGGTACATTTGGGGGTTAGTTGCTATATTATCTCCCCATCTTACTAACTGGAAGTTTAAAGATTTGGCACCTCTAATAAATTGAAAATATATAGAAAAATACAATACACAATGCTAAAATTAATGATATAGGTCAAAAAGAATATTTACATGTATATGATCTACAATGAGACACGACATTGAAATAAAGAAGAGTTTATAGAAAGAGTAAAGATTGTAAAGTAGAATTACAGAAGGATGGCGTATTTTTATTTTAAAAATTTTGGTTTGGACGGTTAAAACATGTTTTCAATTTAATGTATTTCGCTAAGTTAAAATACTTATACTCGCTTTATCGCATTGTTACGATTTTGTAGACCTAGTTGGTCAATATATGCTTGTCCCATGTCGGGATTAAAAAAACGCATTTTTAAGTTTATGCCATCTCAGGGCTTTTTTGAAAAAATAACGCTTTGGGATACAATTTTTGTTTAACGAGCTTATTATTTCACCGTTCTATATGACGGCTTTGTAAATAATCAAAAGTATGACTCGCTCGAATCTACTTTTAGAAAGCATTTTAATTCTAACGAAATCTATTTAATCGAAAAGGAATGCTAACCACTAATATTCAATAATATAAATCTCTTGAAAGGTATTTGAAATTAGAATATTCAAAGTTTTACCATTAATTAATTTATAAAAATTGAAAGCCGAATGAAACGCCATGTATATATATATAAGAAGAAAAAGAAGTACTTTACCTTAGTAATAGTGGAAGAATGAAAAATGTCTGTCTCAATGAGGAGAAAAACCTGCAAATCATGAAACAAATTGTAGAATTACATGCTCCTGATCTGTATATCCAATAGGTAAGCGCGACAATTTCTCTATTGTTCGGAATAGAGCGCGTAATTTACAGTAAAACAGTCCATGTATATAGTTCATTGTTTTCAACAGTTCGTTTTTGATTAGGTTTTTCACCTCGAACATATATCATGTTCTAAAAGAGTTCATTTCGATCGATGTTCAATACAGTCCATATTCATGATTTTAACGTTTCCAGAGTCCGTTACCGTAGTTCAACTGAATTTCAATTGAGATCATTGTCTTCTCATAATGTTCTTCATTATGTCGGCTTGTCAGCAATTTGATACTTCACTCGTTGTTCCAGGCAATTTGAATCTCCCCGACATTCGTAAGTTCGCACGTTTTGTGGAGACGGTTTTCGGCAATTGTTAAAAACTTTCGCTTGGTCAGCTTTTTCGTTGATTCCGTCAAATTGTTGCTTGTCCTGGTTGTTGTCCGTTGATCTGGTCCGTTTCAGAAGGTTAATTCAAGTCGGTCTTGTCACCATTTATAGCATATATGGTTGTTAGATGTATGTGATGTTACCGTATATTGCTATTTCGTAGATTGTCTCTGACTTGCAAGTCACCCGTTCACCCTTCAGCTTCAACGCCCACGTGAATGAAGATGCGTTAAAAATCTCTATATTTTTTTTATTTGTAAATTTCCACAACACACAGAATATAAATCTTATAACATTTATCCAGACTAGCTTAGAATGGTTTACATCGTCTTCTACTCCCTATCGAAAGATACCGGAGTCGTATTTTTACGTTGATCATAAATCCAATTAAACGCTGTGAACGCGAGCTCGTGATACACGTTATAAACAGAAATTCCTATTATCTCAACAAGGGTAATTATGTACATCGTACGGATGGGAACTTAGATATAATTATTTCAATCAGTGCCAAAGGTCTTAGGAATATCAATTTTAATTTGATAATGACTGGGTGGAACATGTAATGTTCCTAAAACTGGTGTAATTTGATTCCTACGAAAGTCTTTGTTCGAATTTTGGGAAAAATTAACTTTGTCATGATGATTTCAACATGAAATGGGGTACATTTGGGGGTTAGTTGCTATAGCTTAACCATATGGCAAACCACGGCCTCGCGTCTGGTTACCATTCCGTGTCCCTCTGCATGTCGGGTATGGGATTAGTTGGTTACCGTATTTGTTTTCGGAAGCATGGACTTGATGGTACAGGAAGCCAGCGGTTACATCACGTGAACCATCCTACGGCGGCGAGGAGTCCAGCAATCCTCTCGCATATGACCATCCCCACATGGGATAGGATTTACATATTTATCCCCGGGGAGAAGAAAGCCGATAGGAAGGCTTATCCATATGGCGAACCACGGCCTCTCGTCCGGTTACCATTCCAAGTCGGGTATGGGATTAGTTATATTGCAGTATTGTTGGTTTTCGGAAGCATGGACTTGGTGGTGGAGGAGCCGTAACTGACCAGCGGTTACGTGAACCACCCAACGACGGCGCTTAGCCCGTTGAGCCACACCGCCGCGCCTTCTAACCCACCCATGCAGGTGAAATTGTCGTGGGTTCAAATGTAATGGAACCCTGGATTTCATGGCCTTTTTGCACGAGAAATCGGGCGTGCAATTGACTTTGTCTCCAGATACTGTTTACTACATCCGCGTAAAATTATTGGATAAAAATACCTCAGTAAATCAGAATGAAAATTGACGTTTGACCTTTAATCCTTAAACATTTTTCT